CCAATTGTAATTGCTTGATGGTGTCATGGAGCCGGTTGAGTTGAAGTACCATAAGTCGGTTGATCTGGACGTTGGTGTCCCGCAGCTGTGAAATAATTTGAGCATCCAGGGCAACAATGGGATCCATCGCAGGGTCTGTACACGAGCGAAAAAAGCTGAGCGAAATTGAATGGCTAAGCTGCGACAAATTCGAAGTGGAGTAATGGACATCATAAGTTACTGACGTCAACAACAAACAAAGAAAACAAAACAAAGATCCAAGTCCAGAGCAATGAAATTGAGGATAGAATGAGTCTTGCGCATGCACTGAAAACGATTGATTGAATTCTGCAGTTCTGTACACTGAATGGACGGTGTGTCAATGGTCGGATGTGAGCTGCACAAAGAACGTGTTTGAACATGTTGGGACTCCAAACTTGTTTTGGCAGCACGTGCGGAAGAGGTGTAGGGTGATGCTCACGTGTTGGAGTCTATTGCTCACAACTGCTGAAAATGCTGAAACGGCGGAATAGGTGACTGTGCAAGGCTGGGAATAAGTACAAATATGTAAATAAGTGCAAACTGTAAATAAGTACAAAGTCATCAGAAATTCTTGGTGTTCTTCAGCACAAAGTAGTCCTGGGATGTGGTAGTGATGATGTAGGCTAACTGTTTGACAAAGCGAGCCGTGTGCTGATGGATCTCGATGTGAGTCCATGGCATTGTCGGTCTCTGTCGCTTTGTCTGATGGTGCTGAGGCTTCTGTGGTCGTCATCGCGCTGGCATCTCGTGTGGCCGGTGCTGCTGCCTCAGCTTGGTGAGAGGTGTGACGAGGTGATGCTGCTTCTGCTTCTGGGCTCTCTGGTGGTTGAGGTGTGTAAAGAATCTGCAAGACTTGCCAGCGACCTTTGCAATCAAAGGGTGTTTTGTTGAGTGCCTTGGCAACGTATTTCCAACTGGGGCGAGCTCGCTTGTTGAGCTTGAAAGCAGCCAATTTTTCGTCATCGCTGGGTTCCCACCCTCCATTGTCGGGATATGGAGGGGAGTCGGTGAGAGCTTGTTGTGGTTTAGGTGGAGGCAATGGAGAAGGTGGTGGCGGTGTTGGCGGCGGCGGCGGAGGTGTGGAGGGTGAGCTGTTGAGAGAGATTGTTGTGACCGGTGGTGTAAGCTGTTGGAATCCTGTGTTGTTTTGGTGTGTCAGTTGTTGTTGAGCCTTTGTGTCATGTTGTTGTGCTGGCGAGCGCTGATGTGGTGTAGTGGGTGTGTAAGAGGGTGAAGGTTCTGGTTTGCATCCCAAGCGTGGTTTGACTGTGGCGGGCGGTGGACTGCGACTGCGTGGTGGTGTAGGTGGTGGCGGCGGTGGTGGAGTGCGTCTGCGTGATCGTTTGGCAGAGGTCGGAGTGGAAATGGATTGGTTGACAGGTGGTAGTGGATGTGGTGTAAAAGGTGGAAGGTTTTGAAAGGTGGTGGCGACAGATGTGGCTGCTTGAAGGTGAGCCAGAAGGAGTCGATGTGCAAATGCCGTATCCAAAGGGGATGTCATACTCGTGGTACTCCTTGTAGAACCGGTATGGCTTGTTCAGCGGTATAGGGTCGTACTGAATAGTTTGGATAATGTAAAATGGCTGCGGTACAAAGCAAGTGAGTGCAATAAATGAAGATGATCTCTTGGTGCAACACAATATGTCTTGCTGGATCCAGTCAGTGCATGTGAAAAGTCTGAAAAGTCGTCTGTCATGGTGACTTCAATGTCGTATTCCCTGCATAGAGACATGCGCAAGGAACATCTGAAAATAGATGAAGGTTGTCAAAGAATAGTGACACAGTAACAAGAAAAGAATTGGTGAGCGAGCTGTGTGGGTATTTTGAGGACTTGTCGTCAACCGAAATGAAGGGTGAAAAAGAATCCTCCTGGGCCGGAAGGGTTGAATTAAATGAAGCTGAGCGGTGGCTTTGCATCGCTTTTCCAGGCAATCCCTTCAATCCTTGAATGCTTCGGGTGAGCCGCCCAGCATTTACCTGGAGTATATTTTACAATCCCTTCGCCGCGGAGCAGTAGGTCATTCGCAGCGGATTCGCCCCCATGAGTCACTTTCTGGCCATGGTCATAAGCTTTGATCGTCAAGATGAGGCCGCTGCGGTTCTTAGCCATGTTTGAAGCGTTGAACAACACTCGTGCGGCTTCAGTAACATCATGTGGCTCATAGTTCGATAGCTCGAAAGCCTGGCAAAAGAAACCTACATTGTGGTCGTCGTGCAGAACTGATCTCGCAATTTCTCCTGCTTCAAGTATGGAGATAATGTTCCCCTCTTCGCTAACATGTGCCGCAAAGATGTGTTTAATCGGTGGTATATTCAAAGCTTCTCTCCTTGCTGGAGGGAGGATTGGGGCATCGCCCCTGCTCGCAAGTGTGGGGATGGTGAGTAGTAGGAATGAGTGATGTTCATCCTTGTTGGTGTCATCGTTCCATTTTGTGTGTGTGAGAAGTTGCATGTCAGTTAAGTGGGTGCTGTTGAGATGGGCAGCGCTGAGCACTTTCGCCACGTAGGAGATCATGGGTTCATTGTGAACGTCGAGCGATTGTGCATACTGGTTGATCCATTGGAAGACATCCAATTGGGCTGGATCAGTGGGTGGTTGAAATTTTGGAGAAGGTAGGTTGTGAGGTCGTCGTTGGACTGGTATAGTTGGTGGTGTTGGTGCCTTTTTGGTGGTGTGCTTGGGTGTGAAAAGTGGATTGGGTTTGAGTATGATGCCAGAGGTACGGTGGGCTGATTCCGGAGTGCGTTTGGTAGTGGAAGTGTGGGTTTTGTCCTGGATCAAGTCTGGTGGTGGTGATGTATGCCTGTCAGCAGGCGTGGAATGTGGTTGTGAACTGGCAATTGATTGGGTAGCTGAGCTTCGTCGCCGTGGCAGTGGAGAGCGTGGAGAGCGTGCTGAACGAGTGCGGCTCCTGGATCTGGATGTGGCTTGTGATGGCGCACTGGTGGGAATGGCAGGAAAGGCTGAATAGCGGCGGTGTTCAGGCGTACGTGGAGGCGATCGATCTGGGTCTCGCCATGTGCCTCTCGTGGTGCTGAGTGTGGGCGCAATGGTTGGTGTCGGTTTTGCTGTGCGTGTCGCGCTGGGTGGTGGTGGAGGGTGAGCAGTTGTGGTGATGGATGCTGAAGTGGGCTCAGTGGGAGCTTGTTGGGTATGTGGTGAAGCGGATGTGGCCGGCTGTGGTAAAGTGGTTGCTGCGGGAGTAGTGGTGTGTACTGGATCTGTTGAGGGAGGTGATGGTTGTGGTGGAGGTGGTGACCCTCTTGTGGAGGGTGGTGCATGTGGTTGGGGTAACTGTGTTGGAGGTGTGTGGTCGTGAGACTGCATTGGCTGTGTTGTGGGTAGTGGATGCGGTTGTGGATGTTGGGCGTTGTCAAAGTGGACGGTAGGTTGTACTGGATGATGTGGTGTGTGTAGTGGATGTGGCTGCATATAGTGTGCTTGAGGTGGAAATGTCGTGGGATGTGGATAAACGTGAGGTATTGGATGATGTGATGGAACTGGTGGCAGTGTTGGGTATGGTTGCGGCGGGGCTTGTGGTGGATAAGGGAACCAGTGTGGTTGTGTGGGCTGTGGTTGCGGCTGTAGGTGTGGTGGTAGTGAATACGGCCAGGGATACGTCATGGCTGCTCGGCAAATCGAATGAGGTCGATGTATGTGTGTAGATATGTAAATCAAAGCAGTCCTTGAACTTGAACTTGAAAACGTGGAGAACTCAAAAGTTATACCAAAGAATACAATATGATGCTGCAAAGTGGAGAAGTGTGCAACTGACTCTAATTAAAATCTCTGAAATTGAAAATTGAAAAATGAAGATGAGAATTGAAAAATTAATATGAGAAGGATTCTCGGGTGAAACTGATGCAGTCAAACTCTGCAGTATAATTCAAAGGAAGTTTCAGTGAACTCTGCAGTAAACTTTACGTGTGACGGGTGAGACAATTCAAGCAAGCTGATTTCGAGCAGGAAAATTCAGTCGAGTGAACTTCAGTAAAAAACTTCAGGAAACTTACTCCTGCGATGAGGAGTGAGAAGGTTCTTGCAGTAACGGCGCCCCGCAGGGATCACACAGCTTACCACAGTGGGAAGAAGCTGCGGAAACACACCTGAGAAGGTTGCTCCGTGGAGCGCGATCTCAGGCTGCTTCGCGGAGTGCATTAGCTCTTTAGGTGAATACTTAGCACTTGACTTGATTCAACGGGAAAGGAGTGCAGAGTCGGTCGAACAGAATGTTTTAACATAGGTGAAACGTGGTAAGTCAATTAAAATTGCGCAGGTACGCTGGGATGATCAGTCCCAGTATCACCAAGGCTTAGAGAGCGTCTTCGTTGGTGGTAGACTCTCTGCCTTGCTACCACCCCCTGCTGGTGCTGTACAAAGGTTCGTAAAGTCATAGGAAAAGAAAGAGCTAGATTAGTGTCCTTGGAAACAGGAGTGGACACACACACAACCACAGACACAATCACACACACAACCACAAACACACAACCACGAACACAACCACAAACACACAACCACAAACACGCAACCACAAACACAATCACGAATCACAAACACACAATCACAAACACACACACACACAACCACAAACACACAACCACAAGCACAACACACAACCACAGCACACAACCCGAGGACCCACAACCAAAATCGAGAACTACAATACTCACGACCATGGCAACATGCTCCTCACTATGGCATCAAGACAAATGATTGAAATGTCATGGTGGGGATCACTCGAAGTAAAGTAATTTTCCCTTGGCATTTTTTATTCTTGGGTTTGGGTCCGGTTTTCGAGGCGAGGGATGTATCTTAAGTAAGAAGCAAAGTATATAAGGGTAAGATAAGACGAGCAAGGAAGCTAAGAAGTTAAAGTAGACAGGTAGAAGCGGTAGAAGTACAGGAGGACTCTGAAGTGTTTCCTCAGCCAAAAAGGGCGTTCTCCAAGTTTGTCTCGTTTTCGTCGACTCTCCGAAACCTTGGAGTTGATGGCTGCGGCCAAGACAAGGAGGCCTCCGAGAAAAGAAGGAAAGAAGAAAAGGACAGAAGAAAGGTCTAGTCTAAGAAAGGTCTAAAAGAAAAAAAGAAAAGAAAGGCAAAGGGTGTCTTGGGTGTCTTTCATGGGCCTTCTCAATCGTACAACCGCTCTTGCGTCCCCTTCATTGAACTGGCTTTCCGTGCTGATATTCTCGTTTTCATAACGCCAAAGGTTTGCTTCTTGGTCTTTTGTTCAAGGCCTCACAGTGCAAATTCACCGGCTCAGCGAAACCAGACAGACGAGGGTCCCACGTCCTCACAAGACGTGAGAAAATATATTGTTGTCTTAAACTATTCTTCTTTGTCTTGTTGAAGGCCATCGCTATTAAAATGATGTGTCTTTGTTTCATTGTTGGTCTTGGTCGTCTTTTTCTTGTTTCACAACTTTCCTCTCCTCAGGTCAATGGCCCGGAGTCCAGTCTGGACCACATCTAAAACCTGCAGAGAATCGCGTTGACCACAGCCCCCTCCCCAGAAAAGAACCCCAGATGGTGCTTGGGCAGGGCATGTTTATCTCAAAGGCCAGCATTTGTGGCACTGTTCTCTCCCACACCTACCCAATTTGAGGCCAGAAAACTTGCTATCCTGTAGAGGGCTTTCACGCTTTGCCAGGAGGTTGTTCGATGCTGCCGCGCTGTCGCTTCACACTTTTCTGGAGAGTTTGCCCTGCAGATCTGGTGCCCAAAGCTCTTCACTCGGTCACTTGTTCCTAGTAGCTTATTGTTTCTACTAGCTTCTTGTTACTACTAGTAAGGCACTTGTTACTAGAAGCGATGCACTTGTTCCTAGTAGCCTATTGTTTCTACTAGCCAAAGACGGAAACATTAAGAACAACTCCGATCTTAACAGGGTTCACCACCGTTGGGAGTCGGCGGCACGAGGGAGTTCGATAGCCCATTCTGTTGACTACAGTATTATGTTTGTCGGCTTTCAACATAAATTAGTAGGGTAGAGGCCATCGCTATTAGGTTGAAGGCCATTGCTATTAGGTTGGAGGCCATTGCTATTAGGGTGGTTCTCGGTGCCAAGCCTGGTCCACCAAGTCATCAGTTATGATCACCTGGCAGCTAGAAACTGCTGGTTCACGCCTCAAGCGCCGCTTGCGGCCAACCAACTCCTCCGACTTGCGCTACCACAGCTTCAACTAGACTGGCAGGTGGCCCGAGAGCGGTGGGCATTCGTACCCATTGTTTTCGTTAACTTCATCTGATCAGAGGAAGCTTAGTGAAGAAAGTGAAGAGTGTCCAGAAGAGGGGAGAAAACCTGCCTCTGCACCCGACCGCCATGCCATGTCGCAGCACGCCCAAGTCATCCAAAACCCCGAACCAATGCACTGTTGAGGTGGGTCTTCTTATGGCGAATGCGTATAATAGCAGGGTGCCCAAATTGGCGCCGCAAGAACCCAAGAGCGATGGCCTCCAACCTACTTGCGCTGGCCCTCCAACCTACTTCGCCTCCAACCTACTTGCGGTGGCCTCCAACCTACTAGCGGTGGCCTCCAACCTACTTGCGATTTCCTCCAACCTACTTGCGATGGCCTCCAACCTGCTTGCTATGGCCTCCAACCTACTAGCGGTGGCCTCCAACCTACTTGCGATGGCCTCCAACCTACT